CTCGTCCCTGCCTCCCTAACCTGTTCTTCCTCCCACCTATCCCCTCCTCCCACCTCAAGCCGCACCTCCATCTCCTACCGACCAACCTCATCCCGCCCCCTTGACCTGTCCGTCCTCCCTGGACTGACCTATCCCCTTCCTAACTCCCTACCTACACTCACCTTTCCTGGCCCCATCCCCGCCTCTTCGACCTGTTTGTTTCCTCTCCACCTATCCTCTCCTCTATCCCTCTTCTATCCGCCTCCCACTCTCTCCCTATTTATTTCAAAACCCCCTTCCCCTCCCCCTTTTCTGATGAAGGGTGTAGGCCCGAAACGTCAGCCTCTCTGCTCCTATGATGCTGCTTGGCCTGCTGTGTTCATCCAGCCCTGCACATTAGTGAACCAGATGGGTTTTCTCCCAAACAAATCGGCAATGGATTCACGGTCATCATTAGACTCTTAATTCCAGATATTTATGGAATTCAAATTCCACAGTCTGCTGCAGTGGGATTTGAACCAGGTCCCCAGAATGTTGTCTGGGTCTCTGGATTAACAGTCCAGTGATAACACCACTAGGCCATCCGTGGTCCAGACTTCAGGGGTTAGGTTTGAGGAGATATTATAGAAACTAGTAATTGCTGGAAAAACCTTGGCAGGTCTGGCAGCATCTGTGAAGAGAAAGCAGAGTTAGTGTTTTTTTTTTGTATGTTGACAGCACAGGCAAGGCCATTATTTGTTTCCCATCCTTAATTCTTCAGAACAGAGTTTTTCCAGCATCCACAGTTAGAGTCCCAGTCATACAGCATGGAAGCAGACACCAGTTAGTCCCATTTTCTCTAGAAAAATCGATTGAAGGAGTGATCTGATCTAGGCCTTCAAGATATTAACAGGAAAAAGACAGGGTGGATAAACTATTTCGACTGGTTGGAAGTTCTAGAACCGGGGGCAGAGTCTTGGAATTAGGGCCAGACCATTCAGGTGTTTGACACAGACGGTGTGCGAGGTTTGAAAATTTTCTTTTCCAAACCGTGCGGATGTTGGATCAACTGCTAATTTCTCTCGGATTTAAAATTACGTTAAACAAAAGTATTAAGGGATATGGGCCAAAGGCAGGTACAGGGATTTACACCACAGCTTAACCACAATCTCAGTGAACGGTGGAACGTCCTACTCCTGTTTCTGTGATTAGCCTGAGCCATTACTGTGACGCCACCTCCTCAGCTTATTGCTGCTTTACCGTGCATAACATGGCCAGCACATAGCGACAGGACCTGTATAGCTGTGGGGTGGCCTGTTGGATGGGATGCAGAGTCATACAGCACGGAAACAGACCAAAATTAAAAACAGAAAGAACTGCGGATGCTGTAAATCAGGAACAACAACAACAAAAAAAAAAAAAAAAAAAACACAAAACCAACACACAACATTTTGGGTCCAGCAACCCATTTTCAGAACCGTTCGAAGGATCACCAAGACCAGAAATGTTAACTGATTTTTTTTCCCCTTCATGGAAATAGACCCTTCAGTCCAACTAGTCTATGCCAAACATAATCCCAAACTAAACTAATCCCACCTGCCTGTTCCTGGCCCATATCCTTCCAAACCCTTCCTGTTCATGTACTTATCCAAAATGTCTTGTCAACATTATAAGTGTGCCCACATCCACTTCTTCAGGAAGTTCATTCCACACATGTACAACCCTCTGCATAAAGAATTTTCCCCTCATGTCTTTTTAAAGATCTCTCACCTTAAAAAGGAGCCCCCTAGTCTTGAAATCCCCCAAAGGAAGAGCAGCTACCATTAACCCTATCTATATCTATCGGATTTTATAAACTTTTATCAGGTCATCCCTCAACCCCCTGTGCTCCAGTGAAAAGTCCCAGCTTTTCATTGTATCTCAAACCTTCCATACCCGGCAACATCCTGGTAAATCTCTTCTGAGCCCTCTCCACCTTCATATTCTTCCTATGAGTGGGCAACCAGAACTGGACACTGGTCCAGAAGAGGCCTCATCAATGTCCTTTTCTCTTTCTTACGGAGAAGAGGTGCCATTTGCAGAGGTATTACCTTGCGCCTTAAATCGGCAACTCTGAAATTAAAAGTTAAACCACAAAAGACCGCAAGCAGTGAAAGGCAGCAGATCACTCACCTTCATTACATACTGCTCCCCTGTCAGGGTGAATTGTTTGCCGCCCAGCTTGAAGGTGACAACAGGTAGACTGGGAATCTTGTCACAGTTGATCATGTACTGTGGAGAATTCAGATCAAGCATCAGATCAAAGTATAGCCACAAAAACCATAGCAGTGGTCAGAAGAAAAAAAAGACAGGATTTTCATTTCTATAGCACCACTCCAGTCAGCGGAGCTTTGCTGGCCAATGAAGCGTTTGAAATATAGTGGTAAGACGGTGACGTGGTGGAAACATCGCTAGGCTAGTAATTCAGAGGAATGGGTTCAAATTCCAGCTCGGCTACAAGTGAAATCCGAATTAAAAATCAATTAAAAATAAAGAAAACCAGGAATATAAAGTTCGACTCACTGTTGCAAAAAACCATCCAATTCACTAAAGTCTTTCAGAGAAAGAAATCTGCTGTCCTTGCCCAGTCTAGCTCACGCGATTGCAGACCCACAGCAATCTGGTGGTCTCTGAAAATAGCATGTCAGAGGCAATTAGGGATGGGAAACAAATGCTGGCCTTGCTACTGATGCCCACAGCCCATGAACAAAAAATAGAATGTTTCTGCTGCAATGTTGAAAACACAACAATTTCTTCCCCCACTAACAGGAAAGAAATTAAAAGTGGTCAAATAACAGTGTTCGAATGTTCAGGAGGGATAACTATTGGTAAGAGGAACTGGAAAGGACTCTCCAATTCTTTGAAAAAGTGCCCGTGGCATATTCAAGTCCCTTGGAGGGAGCAAATGCCCCAGTTTAACATCTCATTTGAAATGAAGCCCTTCGAGACATAAGGGGTGCTAGAGTTGATTGAAATCTTCAAGAATACGCCCATCTCTTGACCCCCAGCTTTGAGAAAGCTCAGTTCCATCAGCAAGCACATCCATTCTTACTTTCCAGTGGGTGTGGGAAGGTGTGAATGGAAGTATTCTTAATTACCCAACTGCCCAATGTTTGGCTGCCAAACAGTGTTGGATTCCATTTTTCTTTGTTTTTTTAAAAAAAAGTGAATAACTGGAAAAGGAAAACAAATAAACAAATCCAATTTTGCTACTTTGCTTGCAGCATTACCTTCGAAGTTAGAGCCTCCAAGAAGTTGAGGTTATGACAGAACTGGAAATCTACTGACAGGGAAACACTGCTGGAATCAGTCTATCTGCTTAAATCCTTACAGTCTGAATATCAGCAGCTTATATACTGAAATTGGAACCATGGCCCCTGCACAAGGACTGTGTGTAAATGTGGTTGGTTAGCTCAGTTGTCTGACTCTCAACGCAGACTGACACCAACTGTGCAGGTTCGATTCCTACACTAGGACAGGTGAAGGTCACGATTTTGCAATCTCTCACCTCACCAAAGGCATGGTCACCCTCAGGTTAGCCCCACATCTGGTTGTTGCTCTCCAATAAGAGAACAACCTTATGGTCCTCTGGGGCTACAGAGGCTTTACCGAGAATTTCTTCATTCATTCACGGCACAAGGGCATCACTGGCTAGGCCAACATTTATTGGGTAGTCGTGGATGGCCAGAGGACAGTCAAGAGTCAACCATATTGCTGTGGGCCTGCAGTCACATGGGGGCCAGACAAAGTAAGGACATTAGTGAACAAGATTAGTTTTTCCTGAATTGACAATGGATACATGGTCATCATTAGATCTCCAAGTCCAGATTTTTTACTGAATTTAATTTTGCTGAACCCACCATCTACTGTGGGAAGATTCAAACCCTGGTCCCCTAGGTCTCTGGATTAGCCGTCCAGCGACAATACCACTAGGCCATCACCTCGCAGACTGGGAATTGAACTCCTGACCAACTGACTCAAAAACAAAAAATTGTTCAATGAACAAAAATGCTCAAGCAGAAACTGATATTTCCTTTCCTTCTAAAAGGAAGGAAAACTAAATTTTATTTGTTGAATGTGGATCCTGGTGGCAAGGCCTAGAATACTTGCAATCCCTAGTTTCTTTTCCCACTCCCACCCCTCCCATATTAAGTGCATCTTCCTTAACCCCCAGTACAGATTTGATATAACTGTTACTCATGAGGCTATAATCGATGGGCAGCTGGGAGTCAATCATTTTGGTGGGGGTTTGGAGTTGTACATAGGCCTGACCAAACAAGAAAGGCAGATTGCCTTCTCTAAAAATGACATGTGAACCTGATGGGTTTTTAAAACAGTGATCCGGTTTTTATGTGGTCACCAATCACTGACCCCAGCATTTTTATCCCCACATTTGTACCAGCCCTTTGAATGTGAAATCAAACACTCAATCCCCACAGGGTGGAAACAGGCCATTCAGCCCATCAAGACCACACAAACCTTCCAAACAGCTTCCCACCTAGACCCACCCCCCATGCACATCCCTGGACACTATGGGATAATTTAGCATGGCCAATCCACCTAACCTGCACATCTTTGGACTATGGGAGGACACTAGAGCACCCAGAGGAAACCCACGCAGACAGAAAGAACGTGCAAACTGCATACAGACACAGACAATCGTCCGAGGGTGGAATCGGAGCTGGGTCCCTGGTGCTGTGAGGCAGTATTGCTAACCACCGAGGGACAGCACACTGGCTCAGGAAAAAAGGTCCACAGTGGATCTTGAAATTCCCTTCTCAACCCTCACCTCCCACGAGCCGATATATGATCAGCCAAACTACTGACTGCTAAAAGGAGCTTTGGGTTGACAATACGAAGCGAGTTGGAGTGGCCTTCATGAGGATTGAGTGGACGGTCGAATCTTCAAACTCCATCCTCACTCTGCACTGATCCTCCCTCTACCAAGAGAGAGGGAATTATTAACATGTCAGGGAGATGGAATTTCAGATTAACGGGATGATGTCACATTTGCAACGAGGGGATGGGATAGCTATAGAGAGGGAGCAGAAGGGATTTACCAGGATACTGCCTAGACTGGAGAGAGTTTCAGTGAAGTGAGAGATTAGACAAACTAGGATTGTTTTCCTTGGAGCAGAGGAGACTGAGTTGGGGGAACATGATTGAGATGTCTGAAATAAAGAGGGGCATAGAGTTAAGAAGTGTTTACAGGAATTGCTGGAAAAAGCTCAGCAGGTCTGACAGCATCTGTGGAGAGAAGTCAGAATTAACTTTTCTGGTCGAGTGACCCTTCCTCGTTGGTCCTAAGGGAGGGTCACCCGTCCCCAAAAAGTTAATGCTGATCTCTCTCCACAGGTGCTGCCAGACCTGCTGAGCTTTTCCAGCAATTTCTGTTTTTGTTCCTGATTCACAGCATCCACAGTTCTTTTGGATTTTAAAAAAACTTTTTGTATCAATGGATGACTTGGAGGGAGTGCTGCGAAGTGAGGGGCAGGTGGTTTGGAGATGTGAAGGAAGATCTTTTTCTCTCCCCCAACTCAGAGTGGGGGTGGGAATCTGAAACTCTCTCCCTGTAAGGTAGCACATTTACACATGCACTTGTGATGACAAGGCCCAAATGGTAGAAATCAAGGTGAAGTAGTTCAGTGCTCATTTTTGGCGAGCTGAAGGGCCTTTTTTCTAGGCTGCAACAAAGCTGTAATTCAGCACTGAGTGTCTTCATGATGCACTCTGCCCACTATTTTGCACAAGTAATAGACTTGTTTGACACTGCTCATACAAAGCCCCTCCAGACGTTTCACTGCATTGAAGGAGCTATGCAAAGAAAGCCGCTGTTGATCAGAGACAAACTGCATCCGCACCTCTCCTTGAATCAAGGGCAGTGCACCAATAACTTTTTGAAGAGCTCGAATCTCCTCCACTGGCCCGACGATAAGTGATGTTCCTGTATCCACTATCGCCTGGCAACCATCCTTACACAGGGTCAGCTGATTTCCTACAGTCACCCTACAGTAGAGAGCGAGAGAGCAAAGAGAACTGGGTGAGGGGTGAGAAAGAGAAAATATTTTTTAAAAAAAAAAAGGAAAAAAATCCATCTACATGTTTACGTGAGAAGCCATGGACTTACTGGTCAGCTTTGATCTGCCAGTAGGCCTGGCGAGTGACGTTGAGATAATGAAAGTCTCCAGTGTAATATTTGGAATCCACGCCTCCGAGAAGCAGCTCCCCACCAGGCTGAGTACTCACATTTCTGAAAAACACAAAATACAAAGTAGCTTAGAAATGGCACAAAAAAAGTCAAAAATAAACATTTCCACTTTTAAAAACAGGCAGTGTTGAATAGATTCTGGATAAGCGAGGGGGTGAAGATTAAATCAGGGAGAAGTATGTGGAAAATAGAACAGTACATCAAGATGCATCAAGGGGCTGTGAGACCAGGGAGACCCAGATTCGGGGGGGGGGGGGGGGGGAAGCAGAAATCACAATTTTGAAACAGCTCACCGGTTCAGATAGAAAGAGAAAATATTTTTCTCCAGCTGCTTTTGTTTCATCATGTTGTCAAAGACAGGCAGGACACCATCAATAGAGATTGCGGGGTAGGCCATGCCGAGGATCCCATCGAATTTTGCCGCAATGAAGACAAGTCCAGGCTGTTTCACCGCCTCCCCAAAAACTTGCTTTGGAGTCACCATGTCACCAATCTGTTAAAACCAAAAGCAGCCAACAAGATCACAGTTCTGCTGAGCACAAGTTCAGAGCAGGAGGAGGAGGAGGATGAACAGGGGCAGTCAGCCCGCACTCGCTCACACCTGATGTTCAGACACTTTTCAGCAGAAGGAAGGGACTGGGTAGTAATCAGGTGAAGGAGACACACTGACAGGCAAGAAGTGACAGGCGTCTCTATCAATTAAAAGCAACATGCAGACCACTTAAGACTCAAGTTTAAGATGAAACAGATTTGCAGGAGCATTGATAAATTTACGCTTACTCATCATGACCGACTGATGCAATTCAAACGGGTTAATTCAGACAGCTGCTCCATTTGTTTCCACACTTTTTGGTTGGTGACCCTCATGCTCAGAACAAGTGATGTTGATGGTGTTTTTCAATATTTGTTTCAGAAACTCCACAGTGGCATCAAACAGGTATTGTATCTAACCCTGTGCTGAGTAAAGTTCTGTACTGTACTCTTTCACACAGAGTGTGAAGTTCCCACTACTCTTGAGCTAAAAGAAAGCTCTCTGCTCTTAAAGTTTAAAAGCAAACCGAAAATAAAGTTTCCTCCACATTACCCCCAAATACTCAGGACTTGTACAGCATGGGGTTAGATACAGACTAAAGCTCTCTCTACTCTTGAATCTAAAAGTAAAAAAAACTCTGTATTCCTACACTTAATTAGTTTCTTAAAAAAAGTAGAAGAAAGTTTAAAAAGTAAAGTGGAAAGTAAAGCTCTCTCTACACCATCCTCAAACTCTCCCAGGACAAGTTCAACACGGTGAGATACAGAGTAAAGCTCCTTTTACTGAGAGTTAGTCTCCCTTGACACCATCCACACTAAAACAAGCCTAGGACAGGCAGAACACTAGATTAGACAAAACCCCTTGAAGAACTTTGTACTGTTATTATGCGAAGAGCATGGACTTTTTCCTGTTATCCTGGAGTCACTATTTCTCAATTAATACCATTTATCACATTTGTTGTTTGCGTGGGAATACTTGCAAACTTTTTTTTGGTCAGTTATAACAGCAATTACATTTTGAAACTTTTTTGTTTACTTGAAATATCCTGACATAGTCAAAAAGCACTTTCCAGATGTCAGAAATAAAAGAAACAAAAATAATGTTGGAAAAACTCAACAGATCTGTGGAGAGAAAAACAGAGTTAGTGTTAACTGCCTGTTTTTATTCTCAGCAGTCAGTCACTATATTTTGCTTTTCTTCATAAATATCAGGTCCTTTCTCCTTTGAAAAAGTATCCAGAATGACAGACATGTGCCTGGTAAGGATAATGGTGCAGGAAACTCCAGTCAAGAAGCTCAATAATCAAATGGACCCAGTGTCTATTTACTACTTAATATTATCTGTCAAGAATACAGGCTCAGGAAAGTTAAAGAAGAATGAGGACAGATTGAGCAGGGAATTCTTAACGCAGTTGCAATGTTGATGCCAGCACCCAAAGGACATGCGATGGGAGGATGGATCAGTTTGTAATGTGAATGGACACATTAAAACTAAAATTGGCTATAAAGAGACAATTTATGCATCAGTAAATGTCACATGTAGGGTCAGGTTCTGGATAGGATTGTTGCTGTGCTCATCAACTGCTTGAGACAAGATTGTGGTCATCTGCCCAAACAGAATCAGTGTCTCCACTTACTGTTAGAGAATCTTGGCTGAGGAATCCTGAAAGGCTCCCAGATCCGTAATGAATAGCAAACGCTGTCCCATTCTTCACGTATGTGCTCGATGCGCTTGATTTGTACTTGTGGTGAAGCCCTAGAGGGGGAAAACAGAGAACCCAACTCAACAAAACCCAACACTCAAAATCGCCCTGCATGGTGCCCTTTACCCAGTACAAACCAGGAGGAGTACAAGTGAGTCATTCATCAGACACTACACAGGGTTAGATACAGAGTAAAACTACCTCTATTTTTTAAACTGAAAGTAAAGTGCCCTCAACTGTCCCAAACACTCCCAAGACAGGAGCAGCATGGGGGGGATTAGATACAGAGTACAGTTCCTTCTACTCTTAAACTGAAAATAAAGCTCCCCTCTACAACATTCCCAAGCTCTCCCAGGAAAGGGACAGCACAGTGTTTGATACAGAATAAAGCTCCTCTACATGTCCCCCATCAAACTCTAAGGACAGGGACAGCACAGGGTTAGATACAGAGTAAAGCTTCCTCTATGTGTTCATCCAGCTCTACACCTTGTTAACTCAGACCCCAGCATCAGCAGTTCCTACTATCTCAAAGCTTCCTCTACACTGTGTTCAGAGCTCTCCATGAATTCTTGGAGCAATGCTTCCTACTATTGGACCATGTAGGTTGTCGCTGGGTAAGGTCACAGCCCACCATCATTTCAAGGGAGTTCAGAGATGGACAGTGAGTGCTGATCTAACCAGCGAAGCACACATCCTAACAACTAGAGACGAAGAAAGAGTTGACGTGAGCGCTCCTGCTCCTTACTCACAGCAGGCGATGTCGAAAAAGGAGCAGTGGACTGATGGAACCCAGAGGTTGGATGACCCGGTGTCGAAGACCACAGTGAACGGCTGTGGTGGGGTACCGATGCCAATCTTGCCATAGTACTGGGCCTGAAAGACAGGAGCATTGGGTGAGCTAAATCTGCACAAAACAAGGTTGAGACAGACGACACAATGGCCTCACCGTCACTCTTCATCCAAGTAACTAGTCCCCATACGCTACTGGGCCAGGAACTGCATCAATGATGGGGCTTCGTCAATAACCCTCCCTCCAATCAGAGGGGTCAGGATTGGAAACGTCAACAAGTGATTGTACAGCAATCAGCACTGTTCAGTCACTCCTGAAGTAGTCCAGAACTCAATGCAGCAAGACTTGGACATCCAGGTTCGGGCTGATAGTCATTGCCCACCAATCATGAGGTGCAACCTATCTCAAGAATCCAAACCTCACCCGATGACATTCAGTGGCATTGCCATCAGAGAATCTCTCACTATCAGCATCTGACCAGAAAGTGGATCAGACTAGCCATAAATACAGCAGCTATTAAGAGCAAGTCAGAGGCTAGGAATTCTGCTATGACTAACTCACTTCTTGTAGGTCATAGACAGGCACTGGGAAGACAAATAACAAGTCAGGAATGGGACAGAATGTCCCCCACTTGCTTGAATGACTGCAGCTCGACGCCATCCAGGACAAAGCAGTCCACTTGATCGGCACCAAATCCATCATGGATGTACATGATGATGCAGACCAATCTACAAGATGCACTGCAGCAATTCACCAAAAATCCTTAGACAGCACCTTCCAAACAGACCACCACTTCCATCTAGAAGGCCTAGGGCAGCAGAGACACAGGAACACCATCCTCTAAGTTCCCTTCCAAGCTGCTCACCATCCTGACTTGGAAACACAATTGCTGTCCCTTCAGTGTTACTGGGTCAAAATCCTGGAATTCCCTCGCTAAGGGCATTGTGGGTCAACCTACTGCACATGGACCGCAGTGGTTCAGTAAAGTAACTCACCACCACCTCTCCAGAGAAATTAGAGGGGGAAAATAAATGCTAGCCCAGCCAGCAATACCCACATTTCGTTGCCTTTCAATCAGCTTCTCCACACACACAGTTCAGCAGAAACTAGGAACCCTCCACCAGGATCAGCTCACTACTCCACTGTAGGGTTACCCAAGGCGAGGCTACACCTCAACTAGGAGCTATTCAAAACAGTGCCCCATCACAGGCATCTTCAAATCGACTGCACAGTCGAGAACACAACTTGAGCAAACTAAAATCGGTCCTTCATCCCAAGCTGGGAAATTTCTGGACAAAATCCCTATTAAAAAAGGCAAACAAGGATGCGGCACACATAAGCGAGGGAGAGCACATGCCCAGAGGACAGAGCGAGTGATTGGCCGATTATCAAATCGCACTCACATCCAAGTAGTTGGTGAGTATTTCGGGAGTCTCTGTCCCCTTTCTTGGTGATCCCGTGTACTTGTCAGGGCTGGGGTGACCGGCAGCAAAAAGGCTATCAATGGAATCCGCAGTTTCAATTAGCACCCTCCGGATGGGCTGGAACTTTGTCAGTGGAATTCTGTCAAATGTAGAAACAGCCTAATGTTTATTTTTCGTTTGCGCAATTCTCTCTCACTATGGACCAGACCAAACCCCCTCAAAATATATTCAGAAGATGGGTCTAGACCCTAACTTTATCTTATTTAAAAAAAAAGGTAAGGGCAAGGTGTTGCATTCCAGATGCAATTCGATTGATCAAACTACTTGATGTTATTCATACACAGTAATTAAAAATACAAAAAGAAAGAAGAAATTGGAAAACTTCAACAGAATAATAGATTTAGCTACAGAGCAGTAACTGTTCCAATATAGTAACAGCCCTTAAACGTACCTTTGCCAAAGGCAAATTTAGTAAAACAGCATCTCTCATGCAATTCTAGCACCAGGAAGAGAACCCCAGCTGTAACAGCAAGAGGAACAACGGCTTCAAGACCCCAGCAACTGCTACTGAAAAAAAACAAACTAAAAAAAACCATGATTCTGTGGGAGCTTGACCCCCACACAGCCCCCGACCAATAGTTATTATGATTCAATTAATAAAAGTGTTCCCTCTCCCCCTCATGATTTTCCACAATCACTTTCCACATGAATCTGTTAAAAAGGTGATCAATTGGGAAAACAGGTGATTTACTGGTGTGGTTAACAGTTTAAAAAACAAAAAAAAGTCTGATTTGGTGGTGGAAAAGCCAGCCATTCAATTGAAAGATAACACTTCTGAATATAAGCAAACAAAATCTCGATTACCCCCACACCCTCCCCTTTGGTGGTCTGCATTATCCCTGATGGGATTTGCACATAAACCAATCAATGGGCAACTTACTGGCAATGGTTAATAGATGAAAGAAAACACCACAGGTGATTTGGTAATAAGGAAATAAGAATGGTTGGGTGTGCACAACAGCACTTCTGGATATTGGAACAAGTAAAAATCTGGAACGATCACCTGTCTTTCGCAGCTACATTCAGCTTTGAAGAGGGAGTACAAACAGATTTGCGTGGAAAGTGAATGTGGAAAATCATGAGGGGGAAGGGGACATTTATTAATTGAATCATAATTATTGGTCAGGGGCTGTGGTGGTCAGGCTGGTCTGGGGGTGGGTTTGCAAAAATCAAGCTCCCACAGAACTGATTTTTAGTTTGGTTTTTTCAGCATCTTTAGTGAGGTGGGCACTACAGGGTGTGGAGGGATTTATTGCTCCTAACAACCCCATTCTGATTTAGCCCCCTCCCTGTTTCCCCGATCTCTTGCAGTGGTTTGAATTGCCCTTCTTGGGCAAGTAGTAATTTGACAATTCAGAAACACATGCGACTTATGGGTGGTGGATAATAGGTGAAATATAATCGGGGGTGATTTGTTGGTGGGGAAACAGCTCTTCAATTGTGTGATAACACTTCCAGATATTTTAAAAACAAAACAGAAAATAAAATCTTAAGACGATAAAACAGAAAGCTGGCCTCAGTGACTATAAAACTATTGCCAATGATAACCGATTGTTACAAGAACCCATCTGTTTACCAATGCCTTTTCGGGAGGGAAATCTATCATCCTTACTGGGTGTGGATTACATGCGACTCCAGACCCACAGCAATTTGTTTGACTTCGCTCCTTGAGTGACTTGTTTGGACATCTCAAAAGGACAGGCAATAAATGTTGGCTTTCCCAGTGACACCTATATCCCATGAAAGAATTAATTGTCCAGAATGGAGAGGTCACAGATGTTGGGAAAAGATTTGAACAGGCTTGAGGACCAATCTGAAGAGATTATGAGCAGTAGATGCATGGGAAAACTACCTTCTGCAGGTCCCCTCCAAACCACTCTCCATTCTGACTTGGAAATACATTAGTCCCTTTGCTGCCACTGGGTCAAAATCCTGGAATTCCATGCCTAACAGCATTGTGGGTCTACCTACAGCATGTGGACTGCAGCGATTCAAGGCAGCTCACTGTGTTTTCTAACTAGGAATGGACATTAAGCATTGGCCTGGCCAATGAAGCACACAGCCCTGAATGAAGAAATTAAGATGAATAATTGCATTTTGCAGCATGCTGCAACATTTGTGGTTGTTAAGTGGTGCAATGACTCACCACAGATGGTGTTCGCTTCCTACTCCAGGGCCTTGCAAAAGTAGTGACATCTTACTCAAGCAAGAGTGGACCGCAGTGCGGGTCACAATTCTACAAGAGGCTGACAGAGAGGTAATTCCCCAATAAAGAATTGTTTTGGGGAAAATCCTGAAGAAACTAGAAACATTCCTGGAGATTCCACTCACATTCAGAGCCTTGAGGGGTAACAATTTTTTCATTTCCCCTCTCAAAAGGGTACAGCCCTTAAAGAGGGGCCATTTGGCCCACTGTGCCTATGCTGACACATTGACAGTGTTAATTGCTCCCCCAAGCTGATCTTCAGAGCCCTACATATTTTGCTTTTGCCATAATGCAGCTAGTTATGCTTGAATTAATACTGAATTCACAAATTTCTGATCGCAAGATCTCACCACAAGAAATACATTCCCCTCCCTGGATTTTTTGGCCAGTTAAATTAATATGCCCCACTCCCCCATACCAGTTATTATGCCCCCTTTGCCAGTGAACACAAGTTATCATTGAAATCCCTCCCAATGTGTTCCAGCTCAGAAAAGAAAGTCACAAGATGTTTCAGCATAGACTAGAATGGATAACAAGTTAAAGAGAGGTATGGGTTGGGACTAGGGGAGTGAATAAAAAGCTTGGAGCCTTTTCTATAAAAAAAAAAGGGAAAATTCAAGGAGACCTGGAGCAGAGCTGGCTGGAGGCCCTGAGCGGATCAGGCATTGTTGTTAGACTAGAGTCTGGCATGGGCAGTCACTTGTGAGGCCAGTCAGATCATGTGTGGAAGCCCTGCACTTAGCTACTGCAATGTAAAGTTAACCTTTTAGCTGTCTTACTTTTAAACTTGTACCATGAATCAGCAAGGTAATGCAACTTTTTTTTTGCATCTACAATTTGTAAGATGGTGGTGCTGTGAAGGGCAACATTGGCAAGTTTCCACTGTATTCCTGTACTTGAGTACACATGACAATAAAAAAAGGATATTCTAAAAAGGGCAGTGGCCTCATCAGCTTGTGCCAACTTGGGGACAGAAGAAAGAGGCACACATGAGAAGCCAAGTCTTAAAAAGGAGGCAACATGAGTGGTAAAGCTAGGGAAGAATTTGAACAAAGGAGGGGAAAAAAAGGCTTTTGTAAAGACTGCCAAGTTGAACAGGATCCAGAAAATCTGTTGGATAGAGGGAGGACATTGAGCCCAATAACTTCAAGGGGAAAGTGGCAACATTTCAAGACATTCAATAGATTCAGTTAATGGAACCATTATAAAATAGATCATTATGCCTTCAAGAGAGAATAAAAAAGCATTATCTTGCCAAGTTCTGCCAGCCTTCCATTTGTCCACAATAAAAGTTTACACAATGTTGCTTTAATTGAACACTCCCACATCAGTCATTTGTAGAGACATTGCACCACAACATACTTCTACACCATTCAAATCCCAGACTGCACCCCTCTCCCAAGAAGTTATCCAATATGCAAATCCCCCAAAAGCATCAATTAGATGCTAGTCTGTAACTGGCTCCAAAACAATATACATTAACTACAAGGAATGGAAGACATTAATCATTACCACTGAAGCCTGTAGCAACAAGCTGTTTAAAAAAAAAGGTAGGGACAGTTAATAATGCAAGTGTCAAGCCTGGTTTTACAGGCAGCAAGAACTAGTCAATGGCCACATTACAAGCGTTATTATTAGATCTCCCAAACCAGCTGACCTTCAAAAAAAAAACACACACACACACACACAAGTCACAAGCTGGTCAGATCTGGCCATCTAGGCCATAACTATCTTGACTCAAACAGAACCTTCAATGTCATTAACCCCCATCACACTATTTGAGAGAAAACAGCTCCCCAAACCGCCACTTCCTACACAGTACAGCCATTGAAGGTTAGATTTATAGCAAACTCTTGCACAGACACCAGAGTGGCCCATTCTTACCTGATAAGACCATCAGAAGAAACCAGCAATGTGCAAAAGACAAACACTTGCATCCACTCCATGGCTGATGCACTTCAATCCACTCCAACAATAATAAAAAGCAGCATAAAATCTAAACCCTCCCAGATCTCTGTGCCTACAGGAAGCTTCTAGATTTAATCCCAGAATGCTGATTGGACTGTGGCTTGTATCAGTCACCAGGACTCACCAATAGAAAGGCTTTTCTCCCCGTGTGATCAGCTGACCTGCAGGAACATGTGATTGATCAGGAGACTGAATTGGGTCAGAGAGTTATTTGTCTTTTATGCCCGAGAAAATGTTGTAATTTTGAAAATTAAACGCACATATTCCAAACGTGTCTTGTAATTAAAACTGTACTGAGCATGGCTTTGTTTAAACAATAAACTTTACGAAATACCAACACTGAATGGTTGTGTACATTTGTGTCTTTCAGGAATGAAGGATTTTTTGAGTCAGATGACTATTAATTTTTAATTAATTTATTCTTTTGAGGAGCATGCTCGTTGTTGGTATTTGTTGCCTATCCCTAACTGTGCCTTGATTTAAAGTGACCTTGACTCAGTTCTGAAGAAGGATCATTGAACTCAAAACATTAACTCTGTTTTTCCCCTTCCTACAGATGCTGCCAAATTTATAGAATCCCTGTAGCACACAAAGAGGCCATTTGGTGCATTGAGTCTACAACAACCCTCCAAAGGGCACCCCACTCTATTCCCATAACACTACAGCTACCATGGCTAACCCACCTAGCCTGCACACTACAGGTAATTTAGCATAGCCTGTCCACCTAACCTGCACATCTTTGGACTAGGGACGGAAACCAGAGCACACAGAGGAAACCCACTCAAACTTGGGGAGAACATGCAAACTCCACACAGACAGTCACCCAAGGCTGGAATCAAACCCAGGTCCCAGGTGCTGTGAAGCAGCAATGCTAACCACTGAGCCACTCAGCCGCCATACGACCCCTAGTTTCTCGGTCAATTTGTGTTTTTGTGTGTTTCAAATCTCCTGCAGCCGCCGTCCTTTTTTATTGCCCCTTAAACTGAACTGTTTGCTAGAGCCATTTCAGAGGGCAGTTAAGTGTCAACCACATCACTATGGGTCTGGAGTCATGTGTAGGCCAGACCAGGTAAGGATGGTAAATTTCCTTCCCTGAAGGATGTTAGTCAACCAGGCGTACTTCTGCAACAATGGATAATAATTGCCACAGTCTCCTCCAGTCAGACTAGGTTTATATTCGTATTAATTGAATTTAAATCTCTACAGCTTGCTATGGTGTCCCCAGAGCATTAGTCTGGATTACTGGAACAATGACAGGCACAGAGAGGCAGCTTCTGTATAGTTCCTTCATGAAAAAAAATTGTTTCACTTGTTTAAGACAAATGAAGTGTGGTGAAAGGAAAATGAGGCACTGAATTGATGGGACACTGTCCAGCAACTCATGGTGTCCCCACCGCACTTAAGCGATTGGAAAAAGAAGTAAAGGCAACATAAGGCAAATCTTTTTAATATAGCAAGTGGAATCTGGAATGTGCTGCCTAGTTAAGGTGGATTCACTAGTGATTTTAAAAAGGGGAATTGGTTCATGATCTGAAAAGGGCACATTTGCAGAACTACAGAGGAAAGGGGTGGGGTAGGGGGAAAGTGAAACTCGATGAGTTTGCCCTTGCCCTTGCCCTTGTAGAGACCGAGCCCAGGAGACTATGGGCCGAATGGCCTGCTTCTGACTTGCAACCAATTGTGCCTTTGCAAGTATAATCTCTGCTGTCGTTTCGGAAATGCTACTTGGTGCACAGCTAGATCCCACAAACATTAACACAATGGTGAGGAGGATGAAGCTCAGTCCTGGGCGTAAGTCACTGGGCCACCAGCTTTTTGCCCTAATAGCAGCCACAGGAAAAGGGGAGTTTCTCCTTGGGGTTTAACCTCTCATTGAAGAGGTGGCTCCACAAACAGTGCAGCACACACCTGGAGCCATTCCGTCAGCCTGCAATTAATTCCTCAAACAATGAATGAGGTTTAAATTGAACCCGGACGGGGTAAGAGCATTGGCCATAAGATTATTGAAACTGTCTCACAGGGTCCTCTTGTTGCTCATTTGAACATGAGCCTGATCCACAGTTCTCATTTTTAACTAAGAGATTATGTTTTTGACCAAAAGGCCTGACTGTGGCATTTATCAGATGAACAAGAAATAAGAGAAGATCACAAGATAGATGCAGGAAGCGTTAGTTCAGCAATGACGGTCAGCTGTCTTATCCTCAAATCAATAATAGTTTCAGCTGTGGCGCAGTAAGTGGCGACATATAAACTTTTCACTGTACTCATTGAATATATGTGACAATAAAGGTTAATTCACTCATTCACTCTGTGCCAAATATCCGCAGGTTGAAGCTCTAAGTCAGAGACTGGGCTCAGTCATGTAGTTGCTATGTGACTGGACTAGTAATCCAGGGCTCTGAACAAATAATCTGGTCATAATTGTTGAGCAGTTAGGAGCGTTCAAATTTGGTTAGTGAAACCCGGAATTTAAGAAAAAAACTTACTATTGGTGGCTGTGTAGCTAGTGCATTGTCATGAAAATCCCACCAGCTTCACTGATGTCCTTTCAGGAGCAACATCCATCCCCTTTATCCAAGATAACATGTGTTCATCCAGCCCTGCACCTTGTTGTCTCGGATTCTCCAGCATCTGCAGTTCCTACTATCTCTGGCTCACAATAGACTTCTGTCAAACAATATATTAACCTTTATAGTTAACACGGCATTCTCCGTGATGAGACTGTTGCTAATTAGAGTCAACTTGCCAACCAATCAGCATCCTCCTCTCATGCTCCTTTGATGTTGGTTTGCCCCTTGAATTGGTATTCTTGCTAAAAATCCTGATAGCTGGCCAGTTAGGGATTGGCAATAAATGCTGGCCTAGCCAGTGACACCCCTCATCACGTGAAGGGATAACTTAAAAAGAAGAGTACAAGATAAAAATCTTGGCAGTTTTGAGAGGGCTCAGTCTTTGACAGTTGGACAGGCCTCCAGTTCTTAGAAGTTGGAGAAGGTCTCGGTCCTCAGTAGATGGACAGACCCAGGTCTTCAGCTGTGGTCTGCTCACGAAACTAAGAGGCCTTGGAATGAACAAAAAAACAATATTTGTCTTAACTTTGTCGCATTTTTTAACATATAATTTATGTTTTTAAATGGCGCTGTTTTTGTGGTAACTTTACACATTATGCTGGTATTTTCACAGATACAAGTAACAATAAATTTCTATCTTTGACAAAACATGTTGTTTGTCAGAGTTACTTAATAAATGAGATAAAAACAAAATACTCAGATGAAAGGCCTGACAACACCTGAGGGGGAGAGAGAGGCAGAGTTAACATTTTTGAGTTTGATTGGACTATTGAAGAGAGAGATGGGAATGGAATGGGTTTCATGCTGTCTCTCGACGGTGGTTTCAAGAGGATTTGGGAATGCTTGCTAATATGTTCAGGGCCCAGTCAGTTGTTATCCCTCAACCAATGTCGCCAAAACAGATTATCTAGCCATTTATAACATAGCTATTCAGATCACCTTGCTGGGTATAAATTAACAGTTGTATTCCAGGGTCAACTCTTCAAAAAGTGTTTTGCTAACTCTGCTGTTCTTGAGGGAAATCTGATGATATAAATGCAGATGTTGTTCCTTTATTTTCTAAGATGCTTTTAGAAATGAAAGGACCTGTGTTGTGCAATGTTTTATCAAACTCTCAGAAATCTTCCAACTGCTTTTCACAGCGCTATTAACCGATGGCTCTTTAGCTGAATTTGGTAACCATTTTGCCCAGATAAATAGAGCTAAAGTGAACAATTACATCCTTGGGATAACACAGTGTGGAGCTGGAGGAACACAGCAGGCCAGGCAGCATCAGAGGAGCAGGAAAGTTGACGTTTTGGGCTGGGACCCTTCTTCATTTCTGAAAGGTCTGCTGTGTTCCTCCAGCTCCACAATGTGTTATCTTTGACTCTAGCATTGTCAGTTCTTACTATCGCTGATTAGATCCTTGGGGTTTCTTTTTTGTCTTTACTGCAGTAGAAGTTTTAATGGAGAAGGAGGAAAGTGCCTTGGGGATTTTTAGAGTGTAGGGGTGGCGATTATACATATTTATTGTTCATAGCTGTTAGAATTAGGATGTGTGTCCTTGCAAATGTCCTAGTTTTGCTGTGACAGTCTCAGATTTTCATTAACTGCCCTGTTGGCCTAACAATTTCTGCAAAATTGTTCAAATGTCCAAGTTTTCAGCTTTTCTCCCATTGGACAATCTTTATACAATTATGCCAAATGAAACAAGGCAGTAACAAGTAAGAATGCGACTGGAATATTACCGGGGAAGATACATCAGGAAGGTGAGGGAGGGGATTCCCTGAAATGATTGACAGTTGACTGAGTGCTCTCACAGAATGAATCCAGACCATTTCTGGGCGGCATCGTTTAGCAACCATGAGCTCACTGAAACCAAAGGATGTACAGAAAGTGGGTGCAACTTCAGGTCAAAGATGCTGAGGAGAAACAGCACTGTCTTAACTAAGGAAGGATTTACTTACCATAGCGGGAGTGAATGAAGGTTCACCACATTAGTCCTTGGGATGGTGAAATTGTCTTCTGACAAGAGATTGAGGAGACTGGGTCTGTATTCCTTAGAGTTTTGAAGAATGAGGAGTGACCTAAGTCGTGTACACAGGTACAGTTACAATGTCTAAAAGACTTTTGGATAAGTACATGAACAGGAAAGGTTTGGAGGGATATGGGCCAAGCGCAGGCAGGTGGGACTAGTTTAGTTTGGGATTATGGTCAGCATGGACTGGTCAGATCAAAGGGTCTGTATCCGTGCTGCATGACTTTATGACTGCTTTGTGACTCACAAAATTCTTGCAGGACATGATGGGATAGACATAGATAAGATGTCGCTTTTGGCTGAACCAGGGTACCCAGTCTCAGATAAGGAGTGGACTATTTAGGACTGAGATAAGGAGGAATTTCATCACTTAGAAAGGAGTGAATTCTTGGAAGTCTCTACCCCAGAGGGCTATGGAGATGCAATCATTGAGCAGGTGCAAGGCAGAAAATGATGGATTTCAGGAGACTAAAGAAATCAAGGGATGTGGAGACAGCACCTGAAAGT